GTGAGCTCATAATTTTTTTAAAAAAGAAAGTGTTGACCACACTGTAGCTTGCTGTAAAAAATGTGCACAGCATTTTACAGACAAAATTGCTTGGATGCGTTTTGCCTTGGATGCTGTAGTTAATAAAGGTCCTGTAGATGTAACTGGCTTTTGCCTGTCTTGTGTTGATGGATGGCAGAGTTTGTGTTTTAAAGGCCTATAGGTTACGTACAAAGGGGAATTAACATCACATGTAATTTGGCCCTCCTCAGATCCGTGTTAGCCACGTGTAAGGTCATGATTTTGCTTCTCAAGCCAGAAACATACACTGAGAGGTAGCCTGCTTACTGAAAAAGGGGAAAAAAGCTGATTGGAGAGAAGTTTTCTTTCACCTTGGGAAGTGTGAAAATCAGCTTGCGTTGTGTTCTCAAAGGCTTTCATGGCCAGGATCCGATGGTTGTTGTGGGTTGTTTTGAAAAACCCACAACCATCATCAGCTTGCTTTGTTTGTTGACTGATCCTCAGGATGTTAGTCACTATATTCCTTTTAAGTCTGGTTTCACAACCTGAAAAGAAGATCCTGTCACTCCTCCAGTATTAATTTGCTCAGACTACAGTATCTCTAATGTCTGTTTGTGGCCTGAGCAGATTATCTCAAGGACTGTGCTATAATACAGTCCCAGTAGAGCAGACTGTACCAGGGTACAATAGTTACGAATGGCTAGATTATCAATGTTTGCTGATATCTCCAGGACTGGAATCTCTCTCCAATAAACACGCCACTTTATCAGTCTGGTAAACTGAGGAAACCTGAAATTTGGCTGATGACCTCAATTTCAAATAATATCTGGTGGATCCAGCATGGTATGGGAATAGGCTAGGGTAGATTCTAAACAAACACCATGATTTTCGATGGTTGGATATAAATCTTACCCTTGTGTTTTCCAGTAGGGAGTTCTAAACCTCACCTAGTCCTAACATAGCTTACTTATTAATCAGGTTGTAATAAGTTAGTAATGCATTGCTTTGGTTGCTTATTAACTATTTTGTTCCTTCAGTCAAGAATAGACACAGTCTCTGTAAAATGCAGTTAAAATGTACAAAACTGGGGCATAACCACCATGGTTGTTTTCCATTATCCAGTTATGGCTGCCCATTTGCATTTTTGTGAGCTCCAGTTGATTACAGTTATGGTAATCTGATGTTATAGGTTTCAAATTATGTGAATGAACATAGATTACTCCAAGAAACTAAATCACCACTAAGCTTCTTTTTTAAAGGGCATGGTGGACTGATGGAGAATCAACTTGACAGATAGGATGTGAAATTCTCTTCTGAGACACATATTGCTGTTTCTTTGATTGCTTCTGTCTTTCGTTCAGCTTTGTAAGTAATGCAGCAGCAGTGTAATTGGCTAAGCCAATTTAATATATTTATATTTATATAACTGTAATCGCAACAATAATAATAAAACCACACAGAAAGTTCTACATTTATGCTCTAAAGGAAAAGGCTGGTTGCATATAGCCCTCAGGGAAACTGAAGAAACCCTGTAAAACTTTTTTTAAAATAAGAAAACCAAAAATAAGAATACCAAAGGTTTTCTTATTTAAAAAAAGGTTTATGGGGTTTCTTCATTTTCCCTGAGGGCTATATCCAACCAGCCTTTTCCTTTACAGCATAAATGTAGAACTTTCTGTGCAGTTTTATTAACATACAGCAGTTTGGACCTTACTGGCATATACAGAAGCTTCCTGTTAAAAGGGCTAAATATAAACACAAACTACATATATAACCAGTATTTATTTTGATGAAAACATTCCATATCCTATCTGTTAAGGGCCATATATCAGAAGGAAGAGTCCTTCTAACCCCGCCCTTTGCTCAAGCGCCTACTGGTTGGAGTGTTGGACAGGGACATGGGAGATCCAGGTTTCAGTCAGTAATTCTTTCAGCCCCCATGCATCTCACAGGACTGTAATGAAGATAATATGGGGAAGGGAAATCATGTACTGTACCTTGCCTTCCGATCCTTCAAGGTAAGGTGATAGAAATGCAATATGAAGGCTGATTTTGATCCATAACTTACCTTCCATGAACAGAAGAGCTCATGAACTTATCTAGACTACTTTTGCTGGTAAAACAGGACTGGAAAAGCATTTCAAGACAGGGGCCTATCTCACCTTTTACCGAGTGGGAGCATAGCATCTCCTTCCTACAGACCAAAGACAATGGCAGAATATCTTGAGGAAAAAGGCAGATGCCACATTGTGGGCCTTTCCATTTGGCCAATGCTCTAAAATTTTTCTTTGTGGTGTAGTAGTATAGAAAACTGTAACTATAGTCAATAAAACTAAGGGCTTATAACACAGTTCAACGAGCAAGAATTAATTAATGAGCATACCACTGCAAGAGATGCCTATAAATGAGGTAGGGTTTTTTGTTTGCTTGCTTCCTTTTTGAAAAGGTGAAAATTTCATCCCAGATTGATAATTACTTATTGGACAAATTTAAAGGCTTGGTTCTTTAGGCAGGCCTTCACATCTGTCAATTCTTGAATTCTATCTTTTTGTTTTCTATCATTTTCCATCTTGAATACACCATACTATTAATGCAATTGTTTTAATGTTTATGATGTTTTTATGATATTTTATTATATTTATAAGCTGCTCTGAGTAGAAGATGTCTAGGGGGGTGGGGCAGAAATCTAATAAATAAATACATAAATAAATAAATGTCAAAACTATGAATAACTGTAATTACAGTGGATATAAAAAATTTACACACCCGTTAAGTGCCAAGTGTCTGTAATGTAAAAAAATGAGACAAAGATAAACCATTTTAGAACTTTTTCCACCTTTAATGAGACCTATGAACTGTACAACTCAGTTGAACAACAGACTGAAACCTTTTAGGTGGAGGGAAGTAAAAAAATAAAATAATATGGTTGCATCTGTGTGCACACCCTCTTATAACTGGGGATGTAGCTGTGTTCAGCAGTAAACAATCACATTCAAACTCATGATAAGTAGGAATCAGTGCATCTCTGCCATCATTTAAAGTGACTCTGAGGAATCCCAAATAAAGATCAGCTGTGCTAGTAGGTCTTTCCTGACATTTCCTTAGTCACATCCTACAGCAGAAGCCATGGTTCACAGAGAGCTTCCAAAGCATCAGAGGGATTTCCAAGGCATTAGATATACCATGGAACACAGTGAAGACACTCATCATCAAGGGGAGAAAATATGGCACAACAGTGACATTACCAAGAACTGGACGTCCCTGCAAAAGTGATGAAAAAACTACAAGAAAATTGGTCAGGGAGGCTGCTAAGAGACCTACAGCAACATTAAAGGAGCTGCAGGAATATCTGGCAAGTACTGGCTATGACAACAATCTCCCGTATTCTTCATATGTCTGGGCTATGGGGTAGAGTGGCAAGATGAAAGCCTTTTCTTATGAAGAAAAACATCCAAGCCCAGCTAAATTTTGCAAAAACACATCTGAAGTCTCCCAAAAGCATGTGGGAAAAAGTGTTATGGTCTGATTAAACCAAGGTTGAACTTTTTAACCCTAATTCGAAAAGAGATGTTTGGCACAAAAACAACACTGCACATCACCAAGAGGACACCATACCCACAGTGAAGCATGGTGGTGGCAGCATCATGCTTTGGGGCTGTTTTTCTTCAGCTGGGACAGGGACCTTAATCAAGGTAGAGGGAATTATGAACAGTTTCAAATACCAGTCAATACTGACACAAAACCTTCAGGGTTCTGCTAGAAAGCTGAACGTGAGGAACTTCATCTTTCAGCATGACGACGACCCAAAGCATACATCTAAATCAACAAAGGAATGGCTTCACCAGAAGATGATTAACGTTTTGGAATAGCCCAGCCAGAGTCCAGATCTCAATCTGATTAAATTATCTGTGAGGTGATCTGAAGAGGGCTGTGCACAGGAGACGCCCTTACAATTTGACAGATTTGGAGTGTTTTTTTGCAAAGGAGAGTGGGCAAATATTGCCAAGTCAAGATGTGCCATACTGATAGACTCATATCCAAAAAGCTGAGTGCCGTAATAAAATCAAAAGGTGGTTTGACAAAGTATTAGTTTAAGGGTGTGCACATAGATGCAACCATATTATTTCAGTTTTTAATTTCTACTTCCCTCCACCTAAAAGATTTCAGTTTGTTGTTCAACTGAATTGTACAGCTCATAAGTTTCATTAAAGGTGGAAAAAGTTCTGAAATGATTTATCTTTGTCTCATTTTTTTACATCACAGGCACTTGACATTTTAACGGGTGCGTAAACTATTTATATCCACTGTAGATCTTGATGAAAACTTTCTAAATGATACATTAATGGGGAAAAATTCCTTTATAAATTAATTTTACTAGCGACACAGACAAATATGCAGTGACTCTTGCTGTTTCATTTTCAACTATTTTTAAAAAGATAAGACTGTTTATGAATATTGTCCTGATTGAGAATGAGCTATTCCATGTTCTACAATGCTTTATCCTTTCAGAGACATCTGTCAGTAACAATGTACAGACGCTCATCTCTGCAAGCCAACAATAGTGGGTAGGGGAAGTATCAAGGAAATGCACATCTCTGATTGGATTGTACTGTATATATATATATACTCCATATATGTACCTATATGGTGTATATATACATATTTTAAAATATATATGATAAATCTTACATGGTACATTTACTTTTTACATAAAAGCATATGTAGAGAAAGTAACAAATGCATAGGATTTATTTGGTACAATCCGGCCAGGTATGAATGCTTCTAAACAGCACTGGATGCAATGGGAAAGTTAAATACTTCCATATTCTCCCACTGTAGTAAAGGAGAGCTAATGGGAATAAATTGGGCTTGATTATACCAACTGGATCTATATGTATAATATCAGTACTTTCATGATAAATGTTTTAAACAGCTTGGTAACAGGAGACCACAGGAGCAGCTGCTGATGTTAGGGTAATAATTAATATATTCACACAATATGTATGAAACTACACAAACATTTATTCATTTTAGGCTTTGGTGGTAATTTATCATGGTAATTAATAACACATTTCACTTCTGCTGTATGAATCTTAAATAATATTATTTGATGACCATGGCTCTCTCTCTCTCTCTCCCCACTGAATCCCAGGTCAAACACAGAACCAATATTGGGCATAAATTATGATTAACATATTAGGAAGAACTAGGGCAAAACAATAAGCACACGTTGTTGTATGTGGCATTTGCTTCAAACTGGTTCCTGAGGTACATGTGCCTCTGTCCCTTTGCAATCTCATATATACATTCTTTGATATAAAGCTAGCTAGCTAAATAGGCTTTAAAACCACTCTCCATACACCCTACCTTTGCCACAAAAGGTTTGGCTTCCGTGAGTGTCATAACACACTTGCAATGTGCACTGAATGACTCATGTGGATTAGCTTCTGGAGCTTTGGATTGTTCTCCCAAGTGATTATTTGAAACTTCACATTTACTTTTTTTTTTACATAACAGTCTGAAATATCAAATCCCTACAGCAGAATCTAAAAGTTTAAAAGGTATTATTTAAAAATAACTACTTTCCCTTTCATTGCATGTCAAATGTGTGTGTGTGTGTGTGTGTTTCAAATGATACACTACATTTGGAAGTAGGCTAGCGAATCAGCCTTGGCTTCAGTAAGTGCCTTGAACAGTAAATGCAAACTAAAAATACTGTAGGCAAAAGATGAATAGAAAGCAGCAATTTTAAATTAAACAGAAGAACTTCAACAGAAGGTGTAACTTCATGTAATTACCTTTGCTCAATGCAGATATTGTCTTACTTCAGTACTTGCAAAGGCATGTATTTCTATGTTTTGGTTCTTATGAAGACCATTTCTATTGCCAATTTTTAAGTGTTCCAGTAAACATACCATTCATTTTCTCTAGCCATGAAGAAAATTCTAAATTGTGTAAATAGCCTTAGTGATTTTTTTAAAGTCTCAAGCATATCTCAATTCTGGATATACAGTACAATTTCAGAAGAGAAAACATAGTTAGGAGTTAAGCAAACTTTTTTTTTCAACCAACGTACACAATTTTCTTGCTGTATTGACAGTGAACTTTCCATTTCACATGGACTTTTATGAAGCTTGTTTTCGTCTTCAGAAGAACATGGACACAGGACGAGTACATTCCAGGTGTTTTGTTGCCTAGAAGTTATCAAGTCAACATTGCATACACAATCCATGGTCCTGCCATCCATCTCCCTTCATCATCTTGCATAGCGTTTAATGTAATCTTCAACTTTAGTTCGGAAGTCCTCCTATATTGGGGGAGGAAAAATAGAGGGCTTTAGATTTGGCCATCTGTTGAATCCTTGGTGAGTTTTGCTTTTCCAGTTATAACACAGTGCATCTGCAGGTGCATTTTGACATATATAAAGAGTTTTGCCTCTCTCTATGAAGTTGTAACTATTTTATATTGGGCAGTATCCCTCTCCATAGCTCCACTGGCACATCAATGACAACAAGAGCAGCAGATTGCTACTAATTAAAGAGTAATCTGCTTAATTATTTCCAGTTCAATTCTGATTTGTGTGCAATGAGATGAAGTTCTGTGCAACCTCAAGATGAAACAAACTCTTTAATTATTGGCACTGCAGTCTGTTGGTGACATCACTCCCACTATGCTGGTGGAGCGACAGAAGAGAATGTCAGCCATTGTAAAGGGACCATACAATATGTGTAGCTGAACGTCTTAAGTATCACCAGCAGTCATCCAACAGCCACTTTTTTCACTATTAAAGACTCCCTCACAATGTCCAGAGACCTCCAAAGGCTTCCCTCTGGACAAAAGGAACCTTGGAACCTGAAGCACAGGTGGGTGGGTGTCGGAAACTTTCCAGGAGTATGAATTAAATGCTTACGGTGCCCAATCCAGGTTATGCTGGCACAAAGTTATGCCAACAGGATTTTGCCCACTAATTATGATTTGGATACTGATTTCTGTAAGATTCAATATCCCAAAAGAAAAATTATGAGTTACCAGAGATAGTGTACTGCACTATAAAATTCAAAGCATAGAAAATACAGAACTTGGCTTGAAACAGATGTTTTTGTTGTCTCCTGAGGCAAACTTCATGTTACTTGGATCCACTGAGAAATACAGAGAATTGCCAAAACCTTGTGATTTAAATGTTCTTACTGAGTTACATACTCAATTTGCCATATCATATTAGTTTTAGGGACTTTCTACAAGCAAGTAAATAGTTAATGCTATTCATAAACAGTTACATACTACAGTATTAGTAAATGTACTTACTATCTATAAAGCGCTAATCATAAACTTGCTTTCCAATAAATAAATTTAAAGGCAAAACTGGATATCCTATGTTGAAGAAATCCTGCCATCACAAAAATGGTGAGAACTGTAAGAAAAGGCCCAGAGACCTTGAGTATGTGCATTATGATTAGGGTCCAAATGTGCTATTCCAAGCACTCACAGGTTCCTACACAGGGAAAGCCCATTTTATGCCTTGTATTAGAGAGCAGGACAGTAAATGAAGCTAAGCTTCATCTGAAATATATTATTCTCATTGTGCAAGAACTACCACAGAAATCTCCAGTCATTGCAATGTGCAAACTTGTCCAGTAAATACCTGCATAATCTTTTTTTCATGTTTGTCCTCAGGCTACTATCTTTATTTAGAGAGGTTTTCTACATGGTTTTGTGATCACATTATAATCACTTTTGATCATTTACCAATTTTACCCTTTCATCCCTACAAAGTGTATCTTCCCGCACACTTAGGGAGAATCCCTTGACCAGCCCAGACGTAAATGGCAGCAGATCCCAACCCCCACCTTGAAAAAAGGTAACTGCATTTCATTATGCAGTACAAGGAGATTCAAAACAATTCCTTAAGTAAAATTGAATGAATTCTAAATATTAACACGCATTAATCTTTCCTGAATTAAACAACAAAGAGTGCTTATGTTAGAGAGTATTGCCAGTACATTTGTACTCACCTTGTCACGTAAATGATGTTCTGCAGCTTCAATATTCAAAGGATCATCAAAATTCAAGAGATCCTGAAAAGCATAAAACCAAGTTTTTAAAGGAAAAGTTTAGCTGCAAGCCACATGAACTTTGATAAAAAGTGATGAGAGTCAAGATCCAAAAAGGATAATCTAACTAGTTCTATGAGCACTGATCTTGAATCCCACAGAAGCTGCCTTTAAAACTAAAAAGAACATCAAAAGCTAGTTGTTAATAACTTAATGGTTTAATCTGCACTGAAAGTCAGAACCAGAAATCTTACCAGGCAAACACAAGCCCCCAGAGTAGCTCTTGTGATCTTGTAGAAATCGTTACATATAAGAATTTATTTTGACATCTGAAGATAAATTATATCCAATGATAAATCTAAACTTATTTAGTCACACCAAACCAAATGTATTCAATAACCATGGATTAAGATGCTGCCAATGTTTTACTTCAGAAGTGAGTACGGTGTGGCCTCTGTGCCTGAAAAGCAGCTCTCTTCAGCATCTTTGGGCCCCTCAGAACCCTGCAGATTTTTTTAAAATGGGGAGGTTGGACCAGAAAGTCCCTTTCTGCTTTCTACAGATGTGGGAGACAATTCTGTCATGTTTTCCCCCTCTAAGCACCTTAGGGCTCCAAAAACGTGTTTATATTTTGGCCTGTAGAGGATAAGAGGCCTTTTTAAAAATAAAAAGTTTTTCTTTTAAAGACTACGGGTATGGCTCTCCAAGGTGCAAGGGTAAGTGCTTGCAGCCACTGGACCTCTGGAGGTTGCTACTGGATTAAATGAAGGCTCTAAACATTCCCTTTACATTTTAAGTAGAATCCAAAAGGGCTGTCCTGCTACTGGACTTTCTTTTATCGGAGGAATCAGGATTGATTTCCCATTTACTTTCTCCCCAAACCCTCCACAACAGGTTTTTGGGCCTATGGAGGAGAGGAGCGGTAAAGAGGGAAGAAAGAAGGTTCTGTTGTACTGTTGTCTAGTGTTAGCATGGACCTAAGACTTTCACATCACTTTCCTTAGCAGTATAAAGTACTAAAAAGAGAAAACAATTTAAGAACTCTTATAACAGTTCAAAATAAAAATAATTAGGTGAATGAAGTTTTTAGGAACTAAGGAAAAAAGGTAAATGAGAAAAAGAGGTAAAGAGAGGTTACCTGCCTGTAACCATGGTTCTTCTAGTGGTCTTCTGTGAATCCATCCTGCGCAGGACCTCTTGGAAGTTTCTAGAGCTTGAAGATAATTGATTACTGGGATGTTCCCCCGTGCAGCACATGCCTCACCCACCCAAAGTCCCTTCAGTTCCTATAAGAGGCCGCCGCTGTCAAAAAGCTATATAAAAAAGGACATCATGATGGAAAGAGGGCAGGATGGGAGGGGTATGTGGATTCACAGAGGACCACGAGAAGAACCATGTTTACAGGTAGGCAACCTCTCTTTCTTCTTTGTGGTCTCTGTGAATGCAAACAATTGGGTGACTGGCAAGCTCACTTACCGGATGGTGGGATGTCACAGTAGAAGAGAAGTCAAAACAGCGCTGCCAAAAGCATCATCATTTTTCGCCTGGATATCAAGACGTTAAGGTCTCACGAAGGTTGATGGATTAGACCATGTAGCTGCACAGCAGATGTGAGGAAGCTCAACTTCACGGTGATATGCAGTAGAAGTGGACAGCGCTCTAGTAGAATGGGCTTTCAAACGTTCAGGCAGTGTTTTGCCTGTCAATTCATATGCCAGTGAGATAGTTTGAATAATCCATAGAAAGATAGTTTGAGGTGAAGCTGGAACACCTTTATGAGGGCCATGAAAACATAGAAAAAGTTGTAGTGATTTTCTAAATGATTTAGTCCTATCAATGTAGAAGGCCAGAGAGCGTCTTACATTGAGCATGTGAAGCATGCGCTCGAGTGGTGTAGAAGGAGAAGGGAACAGATTAGGTAATATCAACGGTTGATTAAGATGAAATTCAGAGACAGCTTTAGATAAAAATGATACATCAAGACAGAGGGTGACTTTATCTGGAGGAAAGATGGGTCGGATCTGAGGGCAGCAAGTTTGCCAGCTCATTTAGCAGATGTTATTGCTACGAGGAATGACGTCTTCAGAGAAAGTAATTTAAAGTTGGCAGTAGTCATTGGTTCAAAGGGAAGTCGAGTAAGTGCACTGTGGACAAGCTGTAAGGACCACTGTGGAAGAGGATGTTGATGTGGTGGGCAAATATTGTGGAGTACCTTGAGGAATTTTTTCAAAGTTGGGTGGGAAAAAAGCTTAACAGAATTGGAATGAAGTGGCTGGTGTGCCACAATAGCAGAGATATAAACCTTGAAAGTAGAGTGAGATAGTCTGAGATGAAAGAGATGAAGGACAAAGGTAAGTACAGTCTTCAAAGAAACAGGGATTGCAGGTAAGTTGTGGGAGTTGGCAAAGGATAGGAAAACCTTCCATTTTATTCGC